AGAAGAAGAAGAAGAAGAAGAAGAAGAAGAAGAAGGAGGAGGAGGAGGAGGAGGAGGAGGAGGAGGAGGAGGAGAGGAGGAGGAGGAGGAGGGGGGGGGAACATTAGGACTGCTCTCCTTGGGATGCTGGCTATACAAGGAACAAAGCAAGATAAGCAAGCTCATGTTGATGTTGTCACTGCTTCTAGAGCCTAACTTATAAAACTCCTCTCCCTGTGGTGACTGGTGCAGAATGGAGGACACTATGCAAAGGATGTGTCACTCATCCAGATGGCTGCCAGTGAACATAACACTATGAGGGTCAGGAGGTGTTCTCTTCTGGGATAGCATCATGACAGACAGGAGGTACTACTTGGTAAAGCACTGTGAAGGACATAGGTGCTCCTGTCCATCATTGCCACTGGTCTCTCTAGTGAGGGTATCTGTCCAGCTCATCCCCACTGGACCTTTCCCATAAGCATCTCCCATTAAACCTTATGTCTCATCCTCCATCTCCAGGCATCTTCCTTGGTTCCTTCTCTCAGCAACCTATCCTGGTGCCCAAGAATGACTGGGCTACAGACATGACACAGGGGCTCTTGTGTTGATCAGGTAATAATCTCATATCACTAACTTGAACTTACAATTTAGGGGTCACACTCTTCCCACCCCCCAGTTCTCTTCTGTGAGTTTAGATGATGCTTGCAAGTGTCCAACAAGTCAACATCTATCATAAATAAGATATAAATGGTTCAAATCTAGTGCCATGTGTATATGACGCAAAATGCAAGGTTGTTTTCCAAAATGCAAGGTTGGTCTCACATTTGAACATTCTTCAGTGTTTTAGCAATACTGCTTAAAAAAGCACAATAACCATAACATTATCACAATTCATAAAGAAAAATCACTCCATAAATCTCAACATCATTTCAAGAAAGTAAACCTTTCCCCATGGTATTGGCATAAAAACCACATAGACCAAGGGAATAGAATAGAGTACCCAGAAAAAAACCTCTTGCATCAAAAGCCAACTGATTTCTGTCTAAGCAAACAAAAACATACATGGGAGAAATGACAGCCTTTTCAGCAGATGATACCTGGAAAACTGGATATTCAAATGCAGATGATTGACACTTGACTGTTCTCACTCTATGCAAAAATCAATTCAAAATGGCTCAAAGACCCAAATATAAGACCTGGAACTATAAAACTACTTAAAGAAAACATAGTGGATACACTTCAAGATGTTTAGACAGGTAAGTATTTTTGCATAAGACCCCCAAAAGCACACAAAAATTTTTCCTAAAATTTTCCTAAATTTCTTAATCTGATATAATGCCATTTGTCAAACAGCAAAATTTGACAAATGGCATAATATCAGATTAAGAAGTTTAGGAAAGCATCAACAGAGTGAAGAGACAGCCTACAGAATGGGAGACAAATTTGCAAGTTACTCATCTGACATTAATCATTATCCAGAATATATAAGGAACTCAAAACTTCAATAACAAAAAACAAATAACTCAATTAAAATATAAGCAAATAATACAAATAGATAATTGGCAAAAGAGGAAATTCAACAGTCAACAAAATTTATGGAAAAATGCTCAACATTATTAACTGTTAGGGAAATGCAAATTAAAACCAGATGAGACATCACATTCCTATTAGAATGATTATGCTAAAAATAGAACAAAAAGTGCTGGTAAGGATGTGGAGAAAAGGGAACCCTAAAACACATTTACAAATGCAAATTTATACGATCATTATGGAATGGAGAACAGTATCCTTTAAAAACCTAACAACAGTACTATCATGTGATCTGACTATTCCACTTCTAAATTTTTATCCAAAGAAAATGATGTCCATATATCAAGGAGACACCTGCTTACTCATGTTTATGTCGGGTTGTTCAAAGTAGCAAAGGAATGGAATCAACCTACATGTGTTGAAATATCACTCTGTTCCTTCTTAAATATATACAATTATTATATGCCCGTAAAAATTTTAAATGTTTCGTTTGATCCCTATCCATTGCATGTATGTGCTGAATTATCACACTGTACCCCATAAATATATAGGATTAAAATAATAATAAAGTATTTTAAAACTTTTAAACAAAAATACCTTAGTAAATAAGGAAGAAAATAGTCTCATGACTCTGTTGAAAATAATCTACAAAAAAAAAAAAAGAGAGGAAGTATCAAACATAACTGGGGAATTTGTGAATTCTCCCTTCTGCACTGAGAATATACAAGGATATCCACCACACCTTTATATGAAATATGGTGCCAGAGGCTCTACCAAATGGTCAAAAGCAAGAAAAAAAATGCAAGATAAAAGATTGAAATGAGGTTAATAAAGAATTATCATTTGCACATGATTTTGACAGTGCCTGACTTGCCCTGCAATAAACAATTAGAAAAAGCTAGAGAGCTTTGATAMATGATTAACATTCAAAATAAATAATTTTCTATATTTCAGAAGCATTAAACTTAAAGTTTTGAGTTACGTACAATAGAATAAAAAATAAGATGTCTCAGAATAGGYCAAAAGAAAGGTAAGATTTTGAAAAAGAAAAAAAATACATAAACTAGAAATTATGAGTAATTCTACATGTAGTTTATATGATAAAGAGTTTTAACTACATATACCAAGGCTCTGTACAAAAACATGCATAGCAACACTGTTTTCATAATCCCCTTCTACAAAGAAGTCATGTGCTTATCTAGAAGCTAATCAACAATGAAGTTGTGTTAAGTTCATGTATTATTGGGAATTACAGAGCAGTGAAATTTAATGAACTACAGAGGATTACAGTGGAAAAACCTAACAGGAGAGAGAGAGAGAGAGAGAGAGAGAGAGAGAGAGAGAGAGAGAGAGAGAGAGAGAGAGAAACCAATTTTTATTTATAATAAAAATCAAACAGCCACAACTAACCTCCAGGGTTACAAGTCAACAAGTCAACAGAGTGACTGGCTCCCTCTGGGGACCAGTCAGAGGATACCCCTGGAGGGAAAGAGTCAATTTCACTTCCCAACCTGGTAATAAGGACACAGACAGATTCAGTTTGTAATATTCCATCAAGCTGGAAATTAATCCTTTCCATCCTTTTTTTAAATGAATGGTGTACCTAACAAAGAGTTAGAAATATGTTAAGGCCTCCAAGATAAATGAAGTATCATCTCAGTCTTAATTCCCTCATTAAAGAAAAGAAACATGGAGAGAAAGAGAGGGGAAAGGTGGAAAAGGAGGGCAGGRGGGGAGGAAAGAAATGGAGGGGACAACTGGCCTAGTATCACTGGCTCTACTGGTACCCAGGTTAGGATGGAGTCATCAATTCATCATGGTCTGCCTGGATCTGCAGCAGGGCAGGTACTTCATCATGAGCCCCTCAGTCCTGGGCAAAGTGGGGTCAATGGTCATCCATAAATCCATTGATACATTCTGATTCCTAATGCACTGATTCTGCATCTACCCATCCTCTGATTTTGCTCTACCATTGGGATCACTTTTCACTAAACATCCTTTTCTCAGGTGTACTTCAGACCAAAAGACCTACAGGTTGGAGAAGCAGATACAGGCACAGAGCATAGTATTTATCTTGATTTGGGGGGGAGGGAGGGGAAGGCAAAGAGATAACAAACCAGGTATTCAATTTGTTCCCGTGATCATCTCCTCAGCATGTCCTTCCCCAAAGTGTCCCAAACACACTTCCTCATCCAAGTACAGCCAAGAAAACAAAACTGTGGAGAAACAACAACCTTGACCCTCACAGACCTCCATGACCAGGTGATGATCAGAGCAGGAACAATGCAGATGCTGTGGCTCCTTCCTTTTGTCTGAATAAAGTCCCTATGAGTTACTGCCAATTAAGAAACAGATGAAACACTCACTTTCAAAAGATTCATGACTTTAGGGAACAACTTCCTCCTTGTTAATACCCATACTGAACATAGAAAACAATAGGAAAAATAATGTAAACAACAAGGAGGAAATGTCCTACTGATTGGCCCAAACTTTGGAAGACCCTGTATAAAAGGCCCAGATGGGGAGAATTCATCAGATTCTAGGAAACTCACCTGTGAACAGGATCCACCCTCCACACCTGCCACCATGAGTGACTGCTGCTGCTCCCCTTGCTGCCAGCCCACAGGCTGCAGGACCACCTGCTGCAGGACCACCTGCTGGCCCTGCTGCTGTGTGTCCAGCTGTTGCCAGCCTTGCTGCCAGCCCAGCTGCTGTGGGTCTAGTGGCTGTGGGTCCAGCTGCTGCCAGCCCAGCTGCTGTGGGTCTAGCGGCTGTGGGTCCAACTCCTGCTGTGGGTCCAGTGGCTGTGGGTCCAGCTGCTGCCAGCCAGTTTGCTCTGGACCCGTGTACTGCACAAGGAGATGCTACCACCCCACCTGTGTCTGCCTGCCTGGTTGCCTAGGCCAGGACYATGGATCCAGCTGCTGCCAGCCTTGCTGCTAATGCTCAAGTCCCCAAAGGACCAACATCTGCACAAACTTCTGTCAACTGACTTGCCTTGCCTGCACAAATTCACTTTCTACCTTTCCTGAAAACCATCATGCTATCACTAAGATGTCTATTAATCATCTCCTTTATAAGAGCTTGTAAATCACTATGAAGAAATACAGACTACTTCATTCTCTTCTTCCTTAGGCCTAATGGATCTTAGGCCAGCTGCATAGATCCTTGATGTGGAGTTATGGCCTTGGCTTAAACTCTAAATCCAAGTTCTTTACCTCTTTCTCTAAATAACTTAGGAAGACACTTCTTCATTAAAAAATTTCAAAAAAGTTTATGCAGCTGATCAACCATATTTTCTTTTACAGCATATTCTGGATTCTTGTATACTTCTTTATCCTTTTCTATTAGTTTCTGTTGTTTCCCCAGATGCAGACACCCTTAATAAATTCTGTACCATGATTYGTTCCTTATGTCTGTCTTTGTTTTCCTGTTGTAAGACCACTTGACATTAGATGTACACACTAAATAGATCTGAAGAGTACAATACATTGACATTGTAGTACACACCATAGGTTACAATGTCTCTGGAAGTTTTTCCTCTTGGATAACTGAAAGTCAGTAGTCATTGATTAGGAATTCCCAACATCCTCCTATTACAGCCTCTGGAAACTACCATTCTAGTCTTTCTTTACCTGAGTCTGACTTTAATACACCTGATGTGAGTGGAATCATGTAGAAGTTATCATTCTGTGACTGGCTTATTTCACTTAGCATAGTATCCCCAAGGTTCACCCATCTTATCAAAAAATGGGAGAATTCCATCTGTTTTAAGGCTGAATAGTATTCCATTGTATGTCTGTACCATGTTTTCTTGACCCATTCATTACTCCATATCTTAGCTACTGTTAATAGTGTTGCCATGAATTCTGGAGGAACTTCCATTCCACAGTCCACAGTTGATACCTCATTTATAATCCCACCAGTATGCACATTTTGTCAACACCAGTACTCTATTGAGAAATTTTTTTTATAATAGTTAGACACAAAATTCCAATATTTCATTTAACCCAATGTTGAAATAATATCCCAATGTTTAATGCAAATTGCATGATCTTGCCTAAGAAACTAGATGACCAAGGAATAATGTCCCTCTTTAGGCCTTAGTTGGGCAATGCCAAAATCCCACCTGTGCCTCTTTCAACTCCATCCTTCCATGGTAGACCAACTGCCTGCCTTTTGAGAAACACACATTCATAATCACAAAATACTCAGTCAGGCTAGTGTAAGTTCTGCTGATCTTGAATCCAGTATATTTATTTAACATGGATTTGTTTAAATTGGCTCTTTTCCTACTTGTATCACTTTTACGGCCACCTTAAGGATAATCTGATCTCTCTCCTTTTCCTGTCTTGTGGCACCCCAGTGGATAGCACCAATTGTCATACTTCAAATTTGTTAATGTAAATTTTCATTTGTTTCCTCCCTGACATAGCATTTGAGAGCCAGTTACAATGTTACTTGTCACACAAGTCAATTTCTATTTTTGGTAACTCAGAGTTTCTTTCTTTAATTCCTTTCAAAGTCCAAATGTAAGATTCACAGTGGTAGGTCTTCTGAAAGCCCCAGGGGCTCTCCGTTTTATGTGWGGTCATCCGATGCCACCAGCTTCTTGGTGGTGTTTTCCAATCACACTTTGCCCCCAGGTCTTCTTTGGTGAGTTCAGCTGATGCTTACACACACTAATAAGTTGCTCTTTTGAAAATTTGAATAGAGGGTAAAAGACAATTCTTCAATCATGGTCTGCGGAATAAAAAAATATGGCTGTAGAGAGGGCCCATCTGAATTTCAGAACATTGGTACAGCCTCTTTTCTGTGTTTCACAAGCCCACATCAAAGGTCAGCTATGGCTACAAGTTCCCCCTTGAAATTCCCCTTGCGGTCGGTGTCTGCCAGAGAAGAACCCTTGGGATATTCCAGTATACCTACTGTAAGAGCTCTGTTTGTATATGCTATGGGCTTGAGAGGGTCCTCAGAAAACCAGGACACAGTGCCATAACCAGGCAAATTTGGGCCACAGGAAGGTAGAGGAAATATAGTGAGGACAGGAAAACAAATTTTTGAAATGAAAAGTCAGTATATATATCCCCCATGAGACAGAAGGGAGCCAAGACCATGCCATAGACAGCAGATGGAGACCACATGGGATTGTTAACAGAAACGTGAAATTGGTCCAGCGTCTTAATGTGTTCCAGCGTTTTAACCACATTTGCTGAAAAAGGTACAATAATGATTTCATTTACTGAGAGCCACAGCCGCGTAGGAATGACACATGGCATTTTTGCCAGAAGGGAGTGGTTGAGAGGTGACATTGAGATGATGATGGTTATGTTAAGCTGTGTATTCAACTGTATATTAGACCCCTGCTGTCCACCTCTGGCACCCACTACTTTGGAGTTCTCACKGGGATTCCTGGAGAGTTTGCTTTGGTTGGAGAAGTTTCGGAGGAGGGATTTCCGGTTGGTGTGTGGTGTTCCTGGAAGGGCCCGTGGGTGGCGTTTGTGGGAGTTCGGGCAATAAAGGAGTTCCTGTTTTGAACCTAGAAGTGCCTTGTGGGTTATTTTGTGCCCAGCCAGACTGCGGCACATTGTATCCACTCATACAGAAAAATAAAAGCATTTTTACAAAGGTGAAAAGCTTTTCAAGACAGAGTGCTGTAACATATTGAGAAGGAAAAGAAAAAGACAGGACTGTTAACTAAGAAGGCCAGTTTTATTCATAAGTGAGTTGACCAAGTGGTRGTAGAACAGGTGCCAAATTCGTCTCCTGTATGAAGTTTTTGGACATCTGATATCAGAGATGTCACAAAACAGACACTTTCCTAGGCCCAAGTGAAGGGTCAGCTATTATCCCTGGACGAAAGCTGCCTCCAAGTACCTGGAAGAACACTTCAGCAACTATTTCAATCATGGCCCACCTTTCAGAGGTATTATCTATAGCAAACCTATTGGGAATTTTACAAAATATTACTTAGCTAGTGACATCTGGAACTGTTGGTTTTTAAAGTCATTAGGTACAAGTCACTACAGGGACGAGAAGCAGGTAAAGACTAGAGAGGGTTTGATTATCACTAGTGAAATTTTTTTTTTTTTGCCCTCGTGAAAAGAATCTAGAGAAAAGAAAAGAAGGATCATAAACGATGGGAAAAAGTGGGGAGCTCTCACTCCATAGGCAGGAATTATAAAAAGAAAAGTATTTGATGCACAATTATACCAGAGGGTCTACCAGTGAACCAAGGCAGGAAAAAATGGAAGATAGACTATGTTGAGAAGAACAGAAGCATCAAGACCATGACAGAATTGAGCATTAGAAATAACTGCTCCAATCCAAAAAATCTACARTAAACTGTTTGGATATCACATAAACGTACAGTAATAATCATATTCAATATTTCCCATGCAGCAAAATTTTATATTTTAAATTACAACGCATAGCACGCATTAAAAACAAAAGATCTAAGAATAAATTTAGGGAAAAATTGACAGGACCATGACAAAGAAAAGAATAAAGATTTCCACATGGGAATTAATAGACGATTCTATGCCAGTTTGTATATCCACCAGAAAAGTTTGTATACATGACAGCGAGCTCGGTATGAAAAATCTATATAGCAGCATGAATATGCCTAGCCGCAATCTGCAAACAAGCTGCACGTTCATCTAGAAGACAAGCAACAGACAATTTTCATCCAATTCAGTCTGTGGAAGATCTTACAACACTGAGAGTTAGCTGACTTCAGATAATTACAAGGATGTACCTCACACAAAGAACAAAAATAGAGAGAAACCAATTATATTACTTGATCAACCTAAGAGTGAAAAAAAGCCATTGCCAACTGAGATGGTTCGATTGAACAAAGGGATGAAAACCCGTTAGAAAAAAGTGGCAGAATATAATCTGCAGGTTATGGGTACACRTCTATATTCTAAGTTGTATTGTTTTAAAGAAATGGTAGTGTTATGCTCGAATTCGGGACCCCCAAAGAMCACCAGAGACCCAAGATCCATGTAAGCAGCAAAGAGGTGTTTATTGCGAGCTAGCTCGGACCTCCGCACGCACACACAGCAACTGGTGACGCTGAGAGGCCGAGAGGCCCCGAGCCCAGGGTTTGCAGCAGTTTTATACATTCTTTGGAGAGGGCAGGGACTTCACATCCATCATAGCATCCCTTAGCAAATCATCACACACCGCRGGAAAATCAAATAACAACTCTAAAACATGATTAGCACATTCCCTGGCGGGAACAAGTTGGGTAGGGGTGATTGGTCAGTACAAAAGGGGTATTCGTTTGAACTGATTGGTTTGAGCCTAGAGGGGTGTACGTGCTGAACTACATGGTTTCCCAACTTGTTATCAAGCACCATAAACCACTGGCATCCCAGGTATTTCCCTGTCTCATGCTGATTGGTGGCTGCTAGGGGGTTGCTATGGATCCCCACCTAGCCTGACTGAGTCAGGGACACCTGGCACAGCAGATCTCTCCTGTTATTTGYAGATAAACAACTTAGCAGGGTGGGAATGTGCTTAGGAGTGCTCTGTGGGGCTTTCTAAGGACTAAGGTCATGTCCCTTCCTTGGACAGGCTTTGCTCTGAGGTAGAGGCTGGTTTTTCAGTAGACTGCAAAATGTTTTGAATGTTAGTCCTCACAGAACAGAGATGGAAGGTGGAAGAGCCGGGACAGAGACAGATGCCTCTAGGAGCCTTCGGTCAGGATCCTCTGGGTAAACACATGTGCTGTTCCTTCCTGTGAATACAGCAGCAGCATGCTCCTATCACAGACACCTCCTAATCTAAATACAATCAAAGGAAAAATATTCTAAAAGGAAAGCTGCAYGGATCCGTCCAGAGCAGCATTAGCCATCCCATTGACCCAAAAGATTGATCAGAGCACCAAGGATGCCAAGGTTCCTCTGCTGGTCTTGAGTGAGGATCCTCTGGGTAAGCACAGGTGCCAATTGTCCTGGTGAAGACCACAGCTCCAGGSTCCTCCCACAGACACTTTCTAATTTGAATACGGACAAAGGAACAAAGCTCCAGAGGAACAATGGCCTCACCCTCCCAGGACAGCAGGACACAACACATGACCAAATTGATACTCAGAGCACAAAGGATGCTAATGAGGAGACTGTCTTCCTTTCATCTGGAACAGTTCCTGTGAGTTGACACCTCTTAGGAAACAAATTAAACACTTTCACAACACTCATCACATTTACATAACAAATTCTTCCACAACAAACAAAAGCTGAATGCAGACAATAACATAAACAACAACAAGGCAAAGGGCTGCTGATTGGTCCCAACTTTGGAAACCCCATGGATAAAAGAGCCCAACTGCAAGGAGTCCTCATATCCKGCAAACTCACTCACCTRTGAACAGGATCCCACCCTCCACAGCTCACACCATGGCCCACTCCAGCTGCTCCTCTTGCTGCAAGCCTACCTGCTKCAGGACCACCTGCTGCAAGACCACCTGCTGGAAACCAGCCKGTGTCACCAGCTTCTGCAGCACACCCTGCTGTCCACCCAGTTGCTGTGTTAAAACCACCTGTGACAGCTGCTGCCAGCCCTGCTGTCCACCCAGCTGCTGTGAATCCAGATGCTTCCAGCCTTGCTATCCCCCAATTTGCTGTGAAACCACCTGCTGCAAGACCACCTGCTGCAAGCCAACCTGTGTGGTCAGCTGCTGCAGCACACCCTGCTGTGAGCCCAGCTGCTGTGAGCCTTGCTGCTGCCCCAGTTGCTGGATCATCCCCTGCTGCCAGCCCTGCTGCCCTCCTACTTGCTCTCAAACCACCTGCTGTAGGACCACCTGCTCCAAAAAGTCCCATGTGACCCACTGCTGCAGCACACCCTGCTGCCAGCCCTCCTGCTGTGTGTGCACCTGCTGCCAGCCTTGCTGCCCATGATCAACTCCCAAAGACCAGGGTCTACAAACCCTGCTCAACYTGCTTGCCTTACCTGCAATTCCCCTCCTACCTAGGCTTAAAAACATCTGAAATTAAGTTCATCATCCCCCAAGTAAGACCTTGTGAATCACCTTGGGGGAGTGCAGACCACCCCACTCCCATCCTCTTCTTCCTTAGGTCTTAAGGACCCTGGTTCAGCTTCATAGATCCTTGAAGGGGAGCTGTGGTCTTGATTAGAATTGTGGAGCCAAATCTTTATCTTTCCATCTAAATAACATAGAAGCACACTCCCTCAGAAAAATTTATAGGTATATGCAAGTGCTCCTTCATCTTTATAGTCATGGTTTCTTTCCCAGTGTTCTCCTTATTCCTGTTTGCCATTCTTCTGCCAGAATCACCTTCAGTTGGCTTCCTTGGTACATCCCTCCTTCATAAATTCCTAATAAATTATAAACCTTTATTCATTATGTATTGTCTTTCTTTACCTTCTTCTGCTGAGACCCCCTAATATGATCGATTTTAAGTGCCAAGTACATTGTCATTGTATCCCACTCTGTAGCACAGACCCCCAGAAGTTGTTCATCTTGCAAAATTGAAATGACATACCCATTGATTGGCAACTACCTACTTCCACCTACCCCAGCCTCTGAAATCCACCACTCTATTCTGTCCCTATGATAGTTGACTGACTTTACATACCTCATATAGGTGGAATCCTGCTAGGGCTAATGTTTTCCCTGTACTTGGCCAACTTCATTTAGGGTACAGGGCCAAGTTTCACCCATGTTAGCATAGGGGGAAGGATTTTACCACTTTCATGCCTGAATAKTATTTCAGGGTGTGTTTCTATCCTATTCTCTTGATCCATTCCTCTGTCAATGGGTAGTTGGGTTTCCCACAACTTTGCTCTTATTCCTGGTGCTTCCTTGAACATAACAGTGTTGATGTCTTTTCAAGTTTCTGATCCTGTTCTTTCCCCTACAAATCCAGAAATGGGCTTTCAGGACCATATGGTGTGTCTAAGTCTGTTCTTTTTAGGAAATTCCATACTGGCTCCTGCATCATTAGACATTCCTTTCTGTGTAGAAATGTCCACATCCTTGTCAAAACCCTTATTCATTCAGTACTTTGTGGAAGAGCCACACAATATCACAATACCATGATGATTGCAATGTTCAAACAATATGGCCTGAAATGTCATGCAATAAGACAAAATACCTGGTCTTGCCAAGGAACTACAAGATCAAACAACAATGCCCCCACCCCCATGCCATGTTCAGCTGGGCCCTGAATGTTGCCATTTCTCCCTCCTCTCCACCAACATACCTACACTCCTATGGTATACCACCTCACTGCCTTTAAAAACATCAATATTCATTTTCACAAAATCCTCAACCAAGTTAGAGGAAATACTGATGACCTTGAAGCCAATCTTTCTCCCTGGACTTCTATGYAATAAATGGTCTCTGCTAATGTCAGCTTCAAGTTCCACATTCAAAGAAGAACCTCCTGTCTCTTGTCCCATGGCAGCTAAGTGACCAGCACAAACAGGGATGTCTCTGACCTTTTTTTGTACAAATTTTCATTTGGTGCCTTCCTTATATAACATTTAGAGCCCTTTAGGATATGCCATGTCATATAAATCCAGTTATATTTTTGGACACATCAGTATTTCTTCATCCATAATATGAGTTTCTAAATTCCCAAAATAAAGTTATAATCCAATGAAAGGTCAGTGTTCAGAGAGTTACAGGGGCTCTCCTGTTTTATGTGACATTTGATTGGGTGACAAATTGATATCACTGGCTTCTTGATTGTTTCTCAAGGACATCTTTCCCCCAGCTTCTCCTCAGTGGGTTGAGCTGATACTCACTATCTTGCAAGTAAGTTTCTCTTCTGATCATTGGAGTGTAGGCTAAAGGCACTGCTTCATTCATGCCCTACAGAATAATACAATCTTGATGTAAAAATGAACAGTATCAATTATAAATAAACAGGTCCAGACATTGTTTATGCAGTAATGAAGCTCAGTTATATGTCTACAAGAGACTCCTTAGAAATCCTCCATATGATGTTTGCTTCAGAAAGGAAGCCTTGGGATTTCCCAGTGCATGATCTGAGAGGAACACTGTAGATGCCTTTGCTCAGGTGCTGTCAGAGAACTGCCAGTTCATCATATAGAGAGGAGAGCCCCTTAAGAGGTCCAGGACATGCAACCAAAACACAGCCAAATTGAGTCACAAGAAAGTGGAGAATCTTGGCTTCTTCAGAATTGATTCAATGGAGGAAGGAAGAGGAAATACAATTAGAATAAAAGGATAATGTAAATAGGATAGATCCTATTTGGATAGAAGTCAGAGTCAAGACCAGAGTCACATGCATGTGATCATGACCCCAATTAGCTATTTTCAGAAATGAAAGGTTGTTCCAACTCTGGAACATTATTCAAACTTTTCATCACATAGACTAAATAAGTGCAGAATAATCATAACATTGCTTCAGTTCATGAAAAAATAATCAATGCATAAAATAAACACATTTTCAAAATCCMATACCTTAACAAGTGAGGATTAAAAAAGCCTTCCTGCTGTAGTTGAAACAGTTCTGATTCACCCACTGAAGCCAGATTTAAAATTAGGTAGTCAGTGTAGTTAGGTAAATYGGGCCTAATATTGAGTAAGATCTAAAATGGAGGCCATGTTGAGAATGAATTCCTGGAAATGCAGGAAAACTCATGGAATGTTAATGAAGTCCCGAGAAAAGCCCTAGACCAAGAGTCCATCCCAAAGAAATGTTAATGAACAGCCCCAGCAGATTTAAAGATAGCCCATCCCAAGGAAGTGTTAATGAAGTCCTTCCTGCCCAAATTACTTCTTTGGCCCACCTGTGTCCCACCTCTCAGGCCTTCCAACCTATATTCCATCACTGAAAGAACTATAAAAAGGGGGGACAACTGCACTTCCACGGATTCCACCTTCTGGGTCCCCTTCTTCCTCCGGGAGAAGTCTTTTCTTCTGTCCTTTAATAAATTTCTAATTTCTACTCTGACCTTGCCTCAGCGTGCTTCTCTGATGTTATTCTTCAACATTGGGGAAGCAAGGACTCGTCACCGGTCAACAGCGGTAACATATTGGAGGTCCCACCGAGATTCTACACCAAGGTAAGCGCCTCTCCACGTACCCCATGTCTGTTTGAGGTGCATCTTTCTCTCTCTTTCTTTCTGGAGGATAAGGTGGGCACCCGACGGCTACTTAAACGCAATTAGTGCAGACACCACTCTTCAAGACTCGGGTGAGAGGTTTCCCGGCCTAGGCAGCTCTCAATCACCTGTTCAATACACAGCAGGCATGTTGGGTTCTGCCAAAGCYGCTTCCAACTTTTCTGTCTGGGCCCAGAGAGCAATTGGCGTGAGTACACAGTGTCCTGAATCCCCATCTGCCTCGTTTGCGTGGGGTGGAGGAAGGAGTTTGGAACAACTGTGGAATTCCGGTCTGGGCTACACTCAGACGTATTCCTAAGGTTCTTTTCTCTTGAGCCCCCTCCCGACAGCCCTCAGGGGTATCTAGGGTGATCCGTAGATGAATGGCACTGAGGGGAAAGCCCCAATTACATTTGCTTCCGTATGGGCTACGCAACACTCCCAACCCCGCATCCATTCCCTCCTGGATGCTCCCCTTCCTTCGCAGGTCAGAAATGTTAGCAATTCAGGTTGTAGGACTGAGAAAGGCATGGGATAATTAGTAAAATCTGCCCAGGATCCCCAAGATGCATAGGTAACTATGTCTATGTTCATATGTTCACTAGTCTGTTTTATCGCCCCAATGTTTAAAATGTGCTGTGTTCTCTTTAAGTTGCTAGAAAGACATTTTTAGAATCCATTCCTCCCGTAATCTCTCTGATAGAAAGCGCTACCTTACAACCAGTAGATTTCCCTTACCCTTAGGCGGTTCCTTTAGTCTACAGAGTAAAGGCAACAAAAGGGCGCATGATTCTCTTTTGCAATGGATTTTTAATGGCCGGGAGGATAAGCAGTAATGCCTTTAAGTCTGAATCCTCCCAGGGTCTCTGGCACAGGGCAAACTGAGACCCTAGCACTTTGCCAAAGGGGACCAGAAACACCCTTGGCAAAGCAAGGTGAGAGACAGGTTTTCTGGACCGTTTAGGAAGCTCAAGCTTAGGGAGACATCCCTAATGAGAACAGTTTTCTCCTGCGCCGTGTGGGCACCTGAGTTCTGTTTTCTTCTCACTCAGATGGGAGCTTCTCTCTCTCCAATACGCCAGGTGCACCACTAACCTGCGTATTGAAAAATTGGGATAGATTTGACCCTCAGACGCTCAAGAAAAAGGGCCTCATTTTCTAGGCCTGGCCTCAATACAAACTCTGATGGAGAAACCTGGCCACCAGAGGGACGTATCAATTTTAATACAATTTTACAGCTTGATAAATTTTGCAAAAAGGAAGGGAAATGGTGTGAGATGGCGTATATTCAGGATTTCTTTGCTCTAAGGGAAAATCCTAAATTATGCCAACAGTGTAAAGTAGACTTAGCTATGATTATCTGCCATGAAGAGAGAAAATCTTGGGGACTCACTGAGGAAAAAGAATCAGAAGGACCCACAAAATCTCCATCTGCTGGCCTCTCTGCATCTGCTCCAACAGGCAAACCAAATATATTATCTCTCCAGGAGATGCCAGGAGGAGAATTTGGGCCGATCAAAGTACATACCCCCTTCTCCCTTCAAGACCTAAGGCAGATAAAAACTGACTCTACTGGAAAGTTAGGAGATATGCCAGATTGCCTGGATTGGACCTAACTATAGGAGCTAATTCTATAAGTAAAAGGAAGGACTGAGGGACTCCTCAGCACCTGCCAAAGCCATTTTGCTTTGGGGAACTTCCTCTTCCTAACCTGCACTGTAAGGATTACTCCACCTCTGTCTACTAAAAAAAAAAAAAAAAGAGCTCAAGTGATATAAAGTCCCAAGGCTCATCCTGGTGAGACCTCAAACAGGACTGATGGTCACCCACACTTCCATCCCTACCTGACTGGTCCCCATACACTGCTTCTTCTTCTACCCTCAGACTCTGCTTATGCTCTGCTGCAAAGGACCATGTGTCCCACACTTTCTTTCAAAGTGCCACCCAAGACACATAGTGGAAGAGAAAACACAGAAAGCCTCCTCTACTGGTCTTGAGWGAGGATCTTCTAGGTAAACCTATGGCTTGTTCCTCACTGAGAATACAGCAGAATCATGCTCCTCCCACAGACACTTCCTAATCTGAATACAAAGGAAGAAAGCCCTAGAGAAACAATGCCCTGACCCTCCCCAGGGCAGTAGGAGCCACCACAGGACCAAAATGATGCTCAGAGGACCAAGGATACTCATAAGGTATGACTGTCTTCCTTTTTCTGGAAACAGTTTCTTTGAGTTATGCCCACTTAGGAAACAGATCAAACACTTTCAGAATGCTCATCCCATTTGCATAACAAATTCTTCCTAGACAGACACAAACTGAATATGGAAAATAACATAAACAACAACAAGGAAAATGGCTGCTGATTGGTCCCAACTTTGGAGGCCCCATGGATAAAAGAGCCCAGCTGCAAGGAGTCATCATATCCCACAAACTCACTCATCTGTGAACAGGATCCCACCCTCTACACCTCACACCATGGCTCCTTGCTGCTGTTCCTCTTGCTGCAAGACCACCAGCTGTAGCACACCCTGCTGTCCACTCAGCTGCTCTGGGTCCAGCTGCTGTAATAAAACCAGCAGTGGATCCAGCTGCTGCCAGCCCTGCTGTCCCCCAGCTTGCTGGGATATCATCTGCTGCAAGACCACCTGCTGCAAGCCAACCTGTGTGGTCAGCTGCTGTAGCACACCCTGCTGTGAGCCTTGCTGCTGCCCCAGTTGCTGCATCATTCCCTGCTGCCAGCCCTGCTGCCCTCCTACTTGCTCTAGAACCACCTGCTGCAAGACCACCTGCTCCAAAAAGACCCGCTGCTGCAGCACACCCTGCTGCCAGCCCTGCTGCTGTGTGTGCAGCTACTGCCAGCCTTGCTGCCCTTGATMAACTCCCAAAGACCAGGGTCTACAAACTCTGCCCACCCTGCTTGCTTTCCCTTCCTGAATCAATTCTCTTCTTACCTCAGCTGAAAGCTATCATGCTCTTCAGAAATTCTGTTTAGTGTCCCCCATGGAAGACCTTCTGAATCACCTGGAGGGAGTGCAGACCTCTTCACTATCACCCTCTTCTCCTTAGGCCTGTGTACCTTGTACCAGTGTCCTAGATCCTTGGTGGGGACATGTAATCTTGCATGAAATTCTCTTGTCTGAAGAACTTAGAACTACCCTTCTTCAGAAGAATAKCATAGCTCTATGCAAATTCCCCTTCATCTTTATGGTCATGATTTCTTTTGCATTGTCCTCCATATTCCTGAGCACTGTTTTCTCCTGTCATTGTCCCCTTCTCTTCCTTTCCTAGATACAGTCATCATTGGTAAATTCTTAATAAATTCTGGACCTTCATTCATTCCATATTGACTGTCTTTATTTTGCTATGCAAAGAACCTGTGACATGAGAACATCTGCTTAGTAGATTTTTAAGTGAAAATCACATTGTTATTGTATCACACTGTACATCAAATCCCTAGATGATATTCATCATGCTCAATTAACATGGCATAAAGAAAGCCAGGTGCTGTGGTACACTCCCATATGCCAGCCTCAGCAGCTTAGCAGACTTCAGGCAACTTGGCAAGTCACTGTCAAAAAATAGAAAACAAGAAGTACTGAGGATGTGGCTCAGTGACAACATCCCCTTCAAAGAGGGGATTTCCTTCTCTTTTAAGGCTGAATTCTATTCTATTGTAGGTTTCTGGCAAATTCTCATGAGTCATTCCTCCATCAGAAGACATTTGGGTTTCTTCAACCCCTTGGCTATTGTTCATAGTGCTGCCATGAACATGGGTGTGCTGATATCTTCAAGATTATGATTCTATTCTTTAACTTAAATGTCCAGAGATGCGGGTTGCTGGATCCTATGGTATTTCTACATCTGATTATACAAGGAAACTCGATACTGATTTCCAGGGGGTTCCTGAAACATAAGACATCCCTCCACTGTATGAAGGTTCCAATTTCTAAATACACTTTTTAGTACACTTACTGCATTGGGTACTTTCTAGACACAATACTATACCACTGCAATGGCTATAATGATATGACTCTGTTTATCCATATCCTCATAYAGTGGGGACGAAGCATTGGGTCTTGTCTAAAGAACTACAGGATCAAGGAAACAATGCCCCTCCCCTATCCCATGTTCACCTGGGTAGTGCCAATATCCACATCTACTACCCAATCTGCCAACCCAAACCTCCAAACTTCCATGGAAGACTACGCTCTACCATACATCTACACATACATACGTATTCTTAAAATCTTCAACCATGCTAAAGGAAATGGTTGTAATTCTGAAGCCAGTCTTTGTCTTTGAGGTGCTTTTGCAATAAATAGACTCTGCTCCTGCTAATGTCACTTTTAAGGTCCACAATCCAAGAATAATCTTATCTCATTTGTCTCTGTCCTGTGAGACCTGACTGTATACCCTAAATGAGATGTTGGTTCCTCCTTGACATAACATTTACATTCCACTAGGAAATTACATGACCTCCAGGTTCAATTATATTTTGACACAGTGGGGTTTCTGCTCTAAGACCTTTGAGCCTCTAAATTCACAACATAGAGCTATGTTCCAAAAGTCACAGCCATTCTCCTCTTTTATGTGTCATTTGCTAGGGTAACAACCTGATATAACCAGCTTCTTGATTGATTTTCCAATTCCACATTTCCCCCAGCTTCTCAGCTGATGCTCATTTATCTTGCAAGTAAATTCTTCTTCTTATCATCTGTGCTGAGGGTTAAAAGCATTGCTTCATTCATGTATAGAATTTATCAGTATCAATTTTAAATAAATATRGTAATGAACTCAGCAAATTGTCTACCAGGGACTCCTTAGAATTCCTCCCCACAGTGTGTGTTTCAGAAATGAAGCCTTGGGGTTTCCCATTGCAGCAAGACAAAAGAACACATTCTTTTACCCTGGCACTGTCTGACCACTACTAATAAATTCTACGTGCAGGACAGTGCCTTCAGAAGTCCAGGATGTGGAACTATAGCAAGGTCAATTTGTGTCACAAGAAGGTGAAGAATCTTGGCTTCTTCTGAACTGACTTGATGAGAGAAGGTGGAGGAAATACAGTGATAATGGGAGAATAAATTTGTAGAATACAAAACAGAATAGATTCTGTTTAGATTAGATGTGAGTCAAGGCCAGAGTCACATGCATCCGATCATGAGCACATTGTATTATTTTTGGAAATGCAAGGTTATTACAACATTGTAACATGCTTCAGTTTTCATCACGTTGACTAAAAAAGGTAGAATAAACACCAACACATTTTCAACCTCCATCACCTTAAGAAACAAGGACTACGAGAGCCTCCAGACTACTGCTGAAACAGTCCTCATTCACCCATCATGCAGGGTGACAATTCCTGAAAAGGCCAGCTGTCAAAAGAAAAGGTCCAAAAAAAAGAAAAGAAAAAGTCTTTATTCACCATCCAGTCAAGACGGGAGAGCAAGTCTCAAGTCTGTCCCAAGAGTGGAGTGTTCATACCTGTGATGTCAGACATATCACCTAACAGACCACTGCCCAAGCTCAAGGGAAGGATCAGTGAATCATTCAATAACACAGAGCAGGAAAAGGTCACCTCCAAGTGCCTGGAAAACCACTTTCACAATTTTTTTCCATCATGACCCATCTTTGAGAGGTGTTACCTATGGCAAAGCTCCTGGGCATCTTACAACATGTTACTCACATTGTAACCTCTATTAGTGGGGATTTTTTAATGTTATTGGGAGAAGGTCACTAGAACCACATGGATCAGGTTAAATCTACAAGGATTATTCAGATTTGAGAAAACGTCGTTGCACTCATGACAAGAATCTATAGAAAGGAAAAGGAGGATCATAGGTAATAAGGAAATGTCAAAGCTCTCCCTTCGAGATCTAGGCTGAGATTGTTCAAAAATACCCACCAGATGCACAATGCACTAGAGGGCTTACCATAGACCAAGGCAAGAAAAATGCAAGGTAAAAAGCCTATGCTGAAATGAACCGAAGTATCTTTGTTCATGATATGACTGCTTGAAAAATCATTCCCTTCCAAGAAGATCTACCATGCACTCTCAGATATGAGAGGGAGTTTGGATACAAGTAAACATACAAAAATGGATCTTTTTTATATCAGTGAACCAGTGAAAAAATTAACTTTTAAATTATCACATAGCTATGTACACTATAAAATACATAACAAGAAATCTGGAGAACCACGAACAAGACTGTCAAACAAAAGAACAACTCTTTCCACCTGAGAGTTCTATAATCAGGCCTATATCAAGTTGTATATTCACCAGAAGTGTTTATAAACACGACCACAGGCTCTGTGCTAAAACATCTATAGCAGCATGAATGCAAATCGTCCCAATCAACAAACAAGCCACATGTTCATCTAGAGGACAATCTACAGATTAATTGTGTCAGTGGAAATTTTACAGTGAGGGTGAACACACTCTAGGTAACTATAATGAAGAAGCTCACACTCATAGTATAAGGAAACCTGGGAATTCTATTATCCTAAGTAACCTAAGAGAAGAAACAAAGACAAAATTGCCCTAGAAGGCTACAGGCCAACAAAGGGATCCACCCCATTTGGGGATGAACGACAAGGTATACGATTTCTAAGAAATTGGGTTCCTTTCTATGTTCAAACCTGAGAGCAGTGGCAGGGATATGTTCATTTTAGAATATTTCACCAAGTTGAAAAGCAATAACTTGTATTCTTTTGGAAACAATGGTAGACTTAAATGTGATTTAACATCACTACTGAAAAAAAAAAAAGGAATAAGATTAAGGTGGGTTCAAAGTAACTTCCAAGCTTTTGCTGCTGTAGCAGGAATCTGTTCATCAGAACACCGAGAAGCAGTTTTGTGACTTTTACTTGGGATGATATTCACGTGAGAAAAATATTATAAAAATTGTGTTATTAAATTATTATTAAAATTGTGTTATCCCTATAGATACACACGTAAATCCATTTTGATTTAAAAATATATGACCTATAAATTATGAATATGGCATACTGTGAATGAGCAACAATGTATGCACAAAAATTTTATGTGCATACATTGATGGCCAAGTAGATTTCACATTTCTGAATTATCTATTACTACATAACAAATTATCCCCAAACACAGCAGTGAAAAGCAACAGGTATTTATTTTCTCACAGGTTCTTTGGATCAGAAATGCAGAAGCGCCTTAACTAGAAGATTCTGGTTCAGAGTCTTTCCTGTTATCATCAGTTATAGTGAAAACTACAACAGTGATTTTCGTTATCTGAAGATTTGCCTGGGATTCGAAGATTTGCTTCCTACAAGGCTCTTGCCTGGGGGCCTCAGCTTCTTGCTCAATGTTGGGTGCTCCTCACCACATGGGCCTCTGTGTAGGATGCTCAAGTAGCCACATGACAAAGCAGCCATTTTCTCAAAGTGTGTGAGAGGGAGAAAGAGAGAGACAGAGCAGGGGAGGGAGGGGACACAATAAAGCCACGTTATCTTTTATGATCTAATCTCAAAAGTTGTACAGTCATTTCTGCCATATACTATTTGTAGGAAGTGAGCCATTAAATTTAATATGCACTTAAGGACAGGAGGAATTAGGCTCTACCTCTTGAATAAAAAGGTACCAAAGATTTTGTGAACATTTTTAAAACCACCACCCACATTATCCTAAATATATCTATTTGTATTGAATTTACTTAAAAAATGAATGACAAGCTTATTTTGTTACATATTCGTTAAACATTTAAGAAGAAATAGATAAAATTCTGCTTATTTATTTGTATGACCCAGAAAATCTTTCCACAGCTCTTCACATCCATTAGATAACAAATTACAATAACCTGGATTTTCACTACATATTGTGTTAAGTAATTTAAATGTCTAAATACATATTGAACTTAGACTTTAATCATATTATTTATATCTGTGGGTCTTGTTCTTATATTTTAGAGAATGGGAAAGGACAAAACATTGTACTGAGACAGTAAATAACAATGAGGATTTTGTTAAAGCAAATTAACCTCTCCACTGAGGTATCAAACTGCTAATAGATGGAACATAAAATACAATAAATGAGATTTAAATCCGACAGTCCCTATAAATAAGTTAAGGATCATCTCAGCTAATCGTAATTCTTTCATGACATAGAAATAAAGCAAGAAAGCAATAGACAGAAAGATAAAGGAGCAGAGAGAAAGAAACAGAGAGACAAGAGGAAAGAAGGAAAGACCGAGGAAGACCCCTGGCCTAAGATCACAGGCTCTGCTGGTACCCAGAAGAGAAATAGACTCACCTGCTCATTCTGGTTTTCCTGGATCTGCAGGGATTGTGTGTCAGAAAGTCCCACAGGTTCTTCCTGGTGAGCCTCCAGTTCTGGATCAAACATGACTGATGGTCACCCTGACGTCCATCCATACCTGGTTCATCCCTAGGTAATGTTGCAACTTCTATCCTTAGGTTCTGGTTCTGTTCTGCTGTGCAAAACCACATGCCAAAAATCCTCATCCCAAGTGCCTTGGAAACACCTAGGACACACAGGTGGGAGAGTTCATACGGAGAAAGATTTCTCTACTAATCTTGAGTAGTATGTGGGGAAACAGACCTGGTGCCAGGTTATTGGTTGATCACGGTGAATACACAACATCATGCTCCTCCTGAAAGACCCCAGCCCAACAACATCAGGCCTAGTTGCAAAACCACCAAGGCATGTCACAAACCTACGCAGGCACCAGAGGTATTTTTCAGATAATTAGTTAGGTGTAACCGGTTGGGAAAGGACAAAGGACCAGGTCCCTAGGCATGCCTGAATGAGCAGGAACAGGAGGACCAGAGTGCAAATATGTAGCTTTTATGTGGTTCTTTTTTAGTAACATACAGT